TTGATATTGGCGATCAATTTCGCGTGCTCTCATTCAGCTGTAAACGCACATTGATATGATCATGTCAAACGAAGAAACATAGAAGTTGAAATAAGTCATTTGAGCGAGGTGGTGGTGGACAAGTGAGTTGCGTGATTGTTTTTGGTTGGGAGTTGAGGTTAAGCTAGATGACAATTTGATATGGATTTNNNNGCCAAATTGTTTCCCGTGTTTCGTCGGTATGATTCGAATGGTTCTATAGCACTCAGGTCAATCGCAAAATTTTCTATCCCTCGGGTTCTCAATTGTGATTCAATTTGAATATCATATTGGACCCCCTGATCATTCCGATACTTACTGTTTTAACTCCTTGAATGCCTTACTGGCTTAAGCGAACTCAATGTGCATTACTGATTGCACTGTGCAAAGCATCTATCACACCACTGGTAAAAGAAATGGTTTAATCAAGAATAGGCCAAGATGTTCTAGTGGTTACGTCAAAGTTATGAAATGATGTGGAATGATTGTAGCTGGGGATGCGGATGTTGGTGTTGGTGAGTTCTTCTCCGGTGGTGGCGACTTCGAGGAAGTCGAAGTCTGCGAACAACACTTCCTGCTCGGAGAACTCACCAACACCAACACGTCAAAGTTATATTGCAAGTTGTCTCGGATACTTAGGTTCGCAATGTTTCTCTTTTTGATGTTGCAAGATTCGGCACAGTTTGGCTTCGGATCTGTGTGAAATATAAATATGTACTACAGGCATTACCCGTAGAAAACACGCCACCCTGTGTTGTAACTCACGGACAGCAACCAGACGAGCTTTGGATCGTGAGTCAAAGCAAAACGCGATTAGACAGGCCACGGGTAGAAACCGGTACGGTCCCTGTGACCGAGTGAAGACAGCACCAGTTGTACCAAGATTGCGGTACCCAGTGAGATTCTCAATAGGACCGGAAGAACGAGAGTGGTACGATCCAGAAACTCAACCTCAAAGAAGACGGAAGGCAGATCTTCAGGTCAGGTTGTTTATTTGGTTCAACCCAAAAATAGGTGTGGACAACTTATCTGATTTTATACAATTTCGCGAACGGCCAACAGTGACCTTGAAAAGTAGTTGAAACCATTCAAGTTAGGCGGCGTTTTAACCCAGCCGGTAGAGCGCGTGTTGTACAGGAAAGGCGTAGGCGGCGTCCATTGTCGTGAGTTCGAATCCCGCGGAGGCTACTGAACGTTTCACAATTCGAACTTATATCACTGATGACCATTTATTGCGCCGCTCTCTTTTGTTCCGCAACAGGCTCTGGTGGACTCACAAAACGAGATGAAACGGATTCAGAATGAGGCATTACAAGTGCATCAAAAATTGGACGATCAAATTGCCCAGCTCAAGCGGGAAAAAGAAGACAGCACAGTAAGTGAATAGTGTGCCGTGTTTCGTTCATGTTCTGAAACTTTATCTTCAAATTCAATTTGATGTCGAATAGCTTCTGTTTATTGATTGTTGCCTTTCGGAAGCTTTTATTCCTTTAACTTTCCATCGGATTTTTTCATAAACGATTACGGCAGTCTGTCTCGCTCCAGGACTAGCCGATGTCCTTTTGTGGTACGGTGCTACTTTATTCGTCGTGCTTGACACATTTGTCGGCTGAAGGTTTTCCATTATCGATGCTTCCCTATTCTGAACCAAGGGGACAATACTTAAGAGAACTGTGGATGGTTAGAAGTACCTCACTGAAAACTCCCTTATCAGAATGAACCAAGTTAGGGAAACTTCGCTGGTCAAGACCCTTCTTGTGTAGGCTTGATAAACATCGAAAGTAAGATTGTTTAACTCACTGTTCGACAAACATTAATTGAAGCTTTACTCACTAGATTGAGTTAAATTAAGTTAAGGTAAGTTAAATTAAATCTGCAAAACATTGCCGGGTCGAGGAGAGTTATTTAGAACTAATAACGGTAAAGGTATCGGTAAATGTACTACAAAATGTCTCATTTGGAACAAGTATCCGAAATTCCCACCGTCACACAAGATAATTACAAGAACGATCTGTCAGTAGATGCGCATTAGCTGCATTTACAAAGTTAACTCCTTCAATCCACTCGCGAATTCCGTGGGAATCTAATAACCCCTTCTTGGCAAACTACTCACAAGTGTGAGTAGTACCTCAATACCAGGGTTTCCGACGAGATCAGGCCGCAGCATGTCGTATCATAATTAATTTTGTCTCGAGAAACTATTTGGATACATAGGATTATGGATGGTAATTAAATCTAGCACATATCGGCATTCGTGTGTAAATATGATCAAGTTATCTCTTAACAAGAACTAACAAAGGCCGTCCAAAGACAGTGCTTGAAAAAGTGCTATGTATTGCAGCGTGGGTATGTGGAAACAAATTGAGATTAAGAGAGTAATTGTATGACCGAAAGGACACTCTGGGCATTTGTATGTATGTATTGTATCACTTTTATTATGCTGTTCCATCTTGCAGATTATTCCACAAGAATATAATTGAAACAAATGGCGAATAAGTAACCATTGACAGAAACACTTCGATTTGATGAACACTAGCGCGTCACTATTGCGAGATTTAGATCATAATAAATAGGATATTTACGTTATGCCTCGCGAAATCACACTTTCCAGTGCCCAATGCTGGTCCTTCATCTGCCGAATCCACCCCCACCCCTAAATCAGACCTAAACAAAATCAGCGCGGAAGTTATACTCAAAGGTATAGAACTGCGTTATACCTCTGGGGAAAATATCCTTATTACATATGCATGATTTAACCTTGGTAGTTCTTGAAAAATGCACATTAATCAATACTGAAATGGTCCAGGGCAGAAGTGATCAATAAGATCGAACAAATTGTGGATCCACGTAACAACTATTCCTACAATCCGTGAATTCTCTACAATCCTCAGTGTTTTATTATTCTTTAGCTTTGATTTCTTTGAGAAATGGGTCTATGTTTACGAAAATGTTCGCCTTTCTGATACTGTGCAGACACGATCCAAATAATTTCCTGGGGATCGTAGTCACGTATTATCTTTATCTGACTTTCACCGTTCACTCCCCCCCCCCCCCCCCCCCNTCGCATCGTGCATGTGGACTGATTTCAGGATAAAATTCAACGACTTTTAGCCCGGAAGGAAGAACTGAAAGACGTGGTTGCGGATTTGGAGGGCAAATTGGATGAACTGAAATCCCAAAATGAGTGAGTTCTTTAGTCAATCGTTTGCTCAACATGAAGAACTTTATGAAACTGTATATTCTCGAATTATTGCCAAATATTCGATCAATCAATCAATCAATCAGTGAGCAATATGTCAAGCTGTTCAATATGAGGGTAAATTGCGGTGCGAAATTTTTCACGCAGGGTATAGTGTCTACGGACACCAAGGTTAGTTTGCACACTGGTCGCCACTGTTCATCTCGACAATGCATCTCGTTAGCCAACCTTGCCAATTCTCGCCCAATGGATCAGTATTGAGTCATTCAACTGCCAAGGTGTGTGGGCAAACTTGTACGATTATACACTGATGCGTTTTACGTGTGCAAAAATTTCAGCAGCATCATCATCCAAGATTTTATTTTCTTGCATGAATAGTACAAGCTACTCATACCAATTTGTGGTTGATGCTGTTCCCACAAGCTTCAAACAAATTTCACGCAAGGCAGCGGGGTGATGTGAAAACCGTAGTCCATTGGGGGTCGGTGTCCAGTTCATTGGGTCATGTGCCCTCTGAACGGGGTCAGACGTCAAAGGTGCCCAATTAAGCCGGGGACCACTGCAACAATAGAGGTGTAGGTGTGTGGTTCATACACCTCTTCTTGGTTGGTTTGAAATCAGGGTTTTTAGAAGAATTCCCAAGTTGAACTACCAGTAATTTACCGACCCGGTTATTGCCCTAAATATTGGCTTTTCTTCCTGTCACTTTAGTATCAAAACTCACCTCCACCACGGGAATGCAGTTAGTATCAGAAGCTATTTGAGACGCTTGGTCGTATGGGAGCATTTCGTGAGGTGCAAGGGAGGGGGTTTGACCAGCCGCGACCCGAGACAGTCACTCTACTAAGGGTCCTCGTGCTGTAACACCACCTCCACCAACTTTCATTATCATTACACTTATTCCGTTTTTGTACCTGTGGTTTTTTTATGATCACCAGAATCCTCGTCCTTCGAACTATCATTCGCAACAGAACTCTTGCTTCATCCGTCCTTCACAACTTTATCTTGTTGTATTCCATGTCAGTGACATCGATGCGTCACTCACTGGTGGAACAACTTTCGATAACAACTGACATTCAGACCACACTTGTTCAATACTCGTCTCGAATTATGTTCTGAACCCGAAAATACTTTCTTGTTTTAAGGATGATGAGTTTACTAAGGAATTTCTCCGTGAACATCAAAATCTTCACTCTGGTCTCTCGCTTGTCTCATATCACCAACCACTACTGTTAGGGAGACAGTGACATGTACACGGATACATGTGGTAGTGGTTCTTCGAAAGCTTTCGCCATCCAACCGGTGAATTTACTGGTTTTCCAAATACTGGCAACCTAACCAACTTGCTGCTCTTGCGCATTCGTTCGGAAACGAAACGGATGTCGTTCCCCGGAAGGAAAGGTGGTCATTTGACATCCGTGTGTTCAGTTCCCGGACGTGACGGGAGACCAAAGGAGTAGCATTCAAGAAAATCGTGTTTTGCGATTACATATAATCGAACTTTGGAAATGATGAACAGTTCTAGGTGATTTTTTCTCTTAGAGTAATGCTCGTAATGATCGTGAAAGTGGTAGTAGTAGTAGTAGTAACACAGAATTCGGAACACGAACCACGTAATAGGAATCGCAAGGCACAAATCTAGGATCAGCTATGACGGTCTGGATTACGGAAGCACTGGACCGCAATAGCACGAGCTCGCAATATCCCACGTGAACGAGACGCGAGGAAAAAGCCACAAGACTGGCAACTCGTAGTTCGTTTATTGGAAGAAATGAAGGCGATTAAATAATATGTACAAAAGAAGATCATTGGTTATCTAGGCTTCCACCAATCGTATTGCAGTATTGCTTGCATAATTCTGCTTTTGTCTGCACTGTCTCGGATTGGCTGATACGATCCACCAATGGCGTCTAGTCAGAAGCCGTGGCGCGTACGCGCGTCATTGACGTCACCTTTCAAATTCGATTGATCGCAGGTGTCCAGAAACTGTAACGCGCTGCTCCAAGGTAGGCGTCATCACGTAGGGGATGAAACGCCTTGACCACATTAGCCATTAACCATGTGGTTTGATTCTACTAGGTGTGAAATGATTGAACTGTGTTGATGATCCTAATCACTTCACTATTCAGCCAGGTCGGATGGTGCTCGCGGACTGGTTCAGATAAAGGTGTGTTCGTGTGATCAATATACGTTGTCCCACAGAAACAGATCAATAAGTACACACACAAAAACAGGCAAGTTGAAAGGACAAGAGTGCTCGAGAAATGAACACAATGTGAAGTTTTGATGCGAGACATGATTTTTTTACGAATGTACTCAATTCATGTGTCTCCCTGAAAAGGCAATAATATTTAAGCCGGTTCCTTCCCAACAGTGTTGATCTTGTTTTGCGATCGAATATACCTGAAAACGTTTCCCACGACGCGTTCTGGATATCCGTTACGGATTAAAATCGCTCAAATAAATCTCAGTTCACACTTAATTGTCTGTCTCCGCGCCCTAGTTAGTAACAAGGCACTGAACTAAGTCTCTTTTCAATTCCAGTGGCAGGCATATAGCCTTTCTTCCAGATTTGTCGTAATTTCTCTTACCTACTGCACGTTTTTGACATTGCGATATATTAGTCCCGTAAGTGCATCACCATAAACGAGTTTGCTCACCAAGGTGTTTTTCCTACAATGTGATTTTATATTTGGACAAATGTACTCTTTATTGATTTTGTGGTTCATTTTATCATCAGATTTCTTCGTTCTCTTCCCCTAATCATTCACACACCCCGCCCACCCGCTGGATCAACCGTGAATATACAGCGCAATCAGTAGTCGTTGGCAAGATCGAACAAGTTTGTTGGACAAATTGGAAAAACAGGTGGAACAAATGCGACGCGGTTGGGAAGAAGAGCAACAACTGCTCATCACCGAACGAGATGATGCAAAAAATCGCGCGGTGTAAGATTTATTGATTTCCTCCGCTCGCTTATAAATTGAATGTTGATCATGCTGACGATATTATTGTTGTTTTCCATCCCCTAACAGTCAACTAACCGTGCGTGTTACCATTTATGGATGAATATTGATCCATTTCGCGGCTAATTACTCATTTGTTATTTTAGTAGCTGAACCTTCACAATTCACAGAACATTCGAGAAACGAAAATTGTCAGTGTTATTGTGGATCATTGAGCTGGAGTAATAGGGTAAATGACTTGTCATCCAGGCGGTCGTGTGTTCAAATCGCACCACTACTGGCACAACTTTTCTTATTCCTTTATACCACATGACAGTCGTTTAATTGGCCTTTTACACCTTACTTGAATTTTTATTTTTGTATAAGTGTATTCAATAAAAGGAAGTAAATGAATAAAAAGGCAACCAAATTAGCGATGAAAATACCTGTGATGACCGACAAAGAGCAGCTGTTTCGTCCCGCTTGTGACTCGTCAGCAGTGCATACCCATTATGTGTCCATATCGTTCATCAAAAATGTTTTCATCGCTATTAAATGCATTCAACTAGCGGAGAATTGACGATCTCCCGAGTACAACCGAAGACCGTCAACAATTTCGGGTCTGTGAGAGCAAAAACGAATAGACTACTCGAAACATGATGCTCTAAGTAACCCAATTCGGTTTTATCTTCCAATCGCCGGTGTTATTCAATTACACCATAGATTGAATAATGCGACAAGCACTCATCGACTACCCGGAGTGCAGCTTGGCTCATGTACATGGATTGCGGACCTCTAGTTTGCGGATGGTGTCGTTGTATTTGGAGACAGTATGAACAACCTCCAGCCTATTGTCAGTCGTATAAATCAGTTTGCCGAGTCCATTGGGCTAGAGGTCAACACGTCGAAAACAAAGACATTTTCGACCGAAACTTCTACCATGACACAACCCCTCTTGATAAACGGGGAGCCTGTCGAATCAACCGAAGATTTTAAGTATCTTGGCTCTACGATAAAACCAAACGGCCAGATTAAGGATGAAATCTAACTCCGTGTAGATGGAGCTAGAAGAGCCTTCCTACAACTCCTCAAACCGTTGTTGAATCGATGCGAAATAAGCTTAAACACTAAGCTTCGGGTTTATCAGGCTTCCATCCGCCCTATCCTCACTTGTGATTGTGAAACCTCACCCCTAAGAGTACAAGATGCAAGGAAGCTCGAAGTCTTTGATCATTGGTGCTTACGCCGCATCTTGAAAGCAAACTGGAGAGATCTGATTTCCAATGATGAGGTTCGATGGCGCTGCTTGAATATCGACAAGCTTTCAAAAATGCTACAACACCGACGCCTTCAGTGGTTTGGCCATGTGCTCCGAAGACCCGACAGTAAACTCTCGCGACAGGCTGTAGCCCCCGCACCATGCCGTGGATGGCGTTGCAGACTCGGTGGTCAATTGAAGACCTGGAGTAGTACGATCAAGGCGGATTTGGAATTACTGGGTCTTCGATCCGTATATGGAATTCGCAACTGGAACCAGAACTTGGTTTCACACTACGTCAACCTTGCTACCGATCGTCCTGCATGGACCGCCATCATTAGAGACATCCAGGAAGCCAACTTATCCTCCCGCAGGAGTTAGTCGATCAAAAGTACAAAAGTAAAGTATGTTTCGATGTCAGGTACATCAGCTGCTTGAGTTTGAATTGACTTGTTCGCGTGTTTCAGACGAGCTTCGATTGTCTAATCCAACGTAACATCTTGTTTCATGTATTGCAGTTTTCCATTTTGCCCTTGAGCTGAACTCCTCTGCGAAAGAGATAGTAAACGTGGTTGAAGTAGACCTATCGACCTTTTGCAATCCACCGAATTTCGCCTTATTCATCAGTTATTATGCACAAGTCTAGTTCTTAGCCGACTCGTTGCGATTCCAGATCGTGATCTGTACGTAAAAGCTTACTGTATTGTTATCTAACACAAGGACTCCGTTTTTTTCCTTCTTGGGTCTTATTTACTTCGCAACCTAGAGTTAAAGTGTTATACACACAACTCACTTTTTGCATTACCAATCATATGGTTTTTGTTCTTTCTGTGTCCCGATTCACCTCATCGAAATCGGTAACTGTTCATCAATTCCAGCTCACTTCAAGCACAAATGGAGCGTATGGATGCTGCGTTCCGCAAACAGATGGCCGCGACGATTGAAGCGAACGATCGGGCAATTTCCGCTGCACGCCTGGATGCAGAGATGATTCGTTCCAGCTGTGAAAGTCGTGTGGCCGAGGTGCGTTTTGCAACGATTTTCGCCTGTTCATCTACTACCTGACGATAACAGATCTGAAAAACAAGTTTATTTTCATGTTGGGCCTTGTGATTTGTTTCAACTAGGTGCGTGAAACCACTGCACTGGTGAGTGACTTAATTGTTCCGGTGTTCAGACACGCAGGGTGATGTTCACAAATCCGTTCGGATAATCACCTGACCCTGCGGTCTATGCACGTTGTGCCGCAGGAACCCAAGGTGGACTTATCGGCATTTCACGCCTCCAAAACGTTTTTCCTGCCGTAGAACACCCTTGACTGATTGCAAATCCGATTCCTCGGTGTTGATGACTATCAGCATTTCAAAATAATAAATGTATACGAAAGAATTGTTCAGATATGTACACAAACGTATGGATGATTTTAATAGAATTTTGCAGAGTAAGTCTATGTCGATAGTGGTTCGAAAACAGTGTAGTTGTGTGCATGACATTTTTGTGCCCTCGTTTTCATGGAAGCTGTATTATTCTCTGTTCAGAGCTGAAATCTCACATTATAAAGGGGTGGAGCAATGATTTGTTTGATTGAGGATTGCAAGCTGCTGTATTCTTGTTCCCATTAATGAAAGTCGCGAATTACGATTTAAACTAGTTATTGTTGTTGTGATCTTTCAGGTGGAGGCAGAGATGCGAGTCGTTTTGGTGGAGACCGAAGAAGCACGCCAAGCGATGGAATCACGTTTGCGTAAGCTCTCCAGCGTGCTCTGTGATCCATTATCTGCAGAACCCAGTCTCCCCGCCGAACGTTCCACACATCACAGTCACCACCATTCTCACACCTGTCCGCATGGGACTGAATGGAGTGCCACACCTCCATCTCCATCACTACCCCCACATTCTGCTTCCATTGGTCTGACAGCCAGTACACGCTTGGGATCCTCACGTTTGAACTCACCACCCCCACTGGGTCACACGTGTGCTCGAATGGTCCATCCACTCAACTCTTGTGAACGGGATATGGGGTCTGGATGTGACGCTGGGATTCACCGCAGTCCGCACTAATCATCATTTACAAGTTTGTCTCTCAAAATTCGCTCATTTCTAGTTCGAATCCCAGTGCTCAACCTCAGTGCAACACAAAACCGGTGCTCCGTTTATTTCACGTTTTCCTTCTCTCCGGTAAACAGACGAATGAACAACTCTCTTTTTACGTTCTACGTTGCGCGTGATCTCCCATTGTATGCAACCCGAATAAGGTGACCGAATTAAACCAGTGGATTTGTTTCACAAATTCTCCCTCGTCCGCTCTTTTACGCTTACCACGTCCTCTTCGTTATTGTGATTTTGATTTGCGAATTTACGCGCAAAATGAACCGAACTTTGCGTCAGACGGTCAACTCACACATGTTCTCTCTCTCTGTCGGTATCCACTGGATGAGGACGGAAGGGGGGGGGTATTTACACCCACATAGTAGCTTCATTACGCGTTTATCACGATTTTGATTTGGTGAAGCCTGATGATTGATGACTCGGATCCCGACTGGGTTTTCGCTGAATGATTGATTCAAACAAATACTATCTGAACACTGGGCCTAACCGAAGCCATGCTCATCACACTCCCAACAGGGGAAAGGTGAAAGTTGTAACACAACGAAAGGAGAAGTTAGGGTATTCTTCATTGTAGCCAATGAGGTGCCGGAAATTATGTCGTACTTGAGTATTTAAAACTTCACAGTTGGATTTACAACTATTTGTGTGTTATCGTGTGGAATAAGCATGGGTATTAATTTTAATTGTTCATCCTTCTGACTTACGATCATCACGCATAAAGAAATCCCAGTTCATCCAGTCAATCACACTCGGGACGTGCTAGGTCAGAATTTAGCTTTTGTTGTTGTTTAAGAAGAAGTAGCGTGATAAGTTGATGACACCTGCTCAGTATGGTGCATGGAAGACCAGACTCGGAGAATTTCGGCTAGTATTTAGAGTTAAATATCGTAAGAAAAAACGAAGTAGTGAACAAGCTCGTTTGCGGTGATTCTTCTAGACTAGTATATCACATACATATATTAGCCTGTAGAAGAATCACCGCAAACGAGCTTGTTCGCTACTTTGTGTTTTCTTACAATATTTAATCGTAAATATTAGCCGAGATGATGGTATATTCAGATAGTTAACTGTTTTTATTCTTCACTTTTCAATAGCACCGAAGCTACAAGCGTCTGTTTTGTTAAGCAGATTAAGCCCAGTTCACGGAAGGCAAATCCGCGAGGAGCGGGAAGGGTTTCATGCACGCCGTAGTTGCATAGGTCAAATCTTCACCCTTCGTCAAATACCAGAACACCACCACACATGCAGACTATTGTCGTGTTTTTGGACTTCAGAGAGGCCTTTGACTCCATCGACCGCCACGCACTGTGGAACTGTTTGCGGAGATAAGGAGTACCTGAGACGTATGTTTTACTTCTAAAAGTACTCTACCATCAGACCTCGGAGAAGGTTAGGGCCTATGGTGAACTTTCACCTTCTTTTCCTGTCACCAGTGGAGTGCGACAGGGTTGCCCTATCTCTCCGTTCCTCTTCAATCTTGTCATAGATAATGTCCTAAAAAACGCCTTACATAACGTGACGAACCCTGGCGTCGAGCTTCTTCCTGGAGACAGAGTCGTAGACTTGGAATATGCCGGTGATTAGCCTTACTGGGTGACAACGATTCAAGAGTCATTGAACCGTTTGGCAATTGAGGTTACTCGCTTTGATATGTCCTTTGCACCTTCGAAGTGCAGCGTCGTTGCAAGATTAGCAGGAACCCATCCCTGTACTTTGGTTGGATAATGCCACTCTGAAAGTAGTCGAAAGCCTTGTCTAGCTTGGGAGTTGCATAACGATTGGCGGAGGTGTGGGCGAGGAGATCTCTCAATGTGTGGTCGAAGCCAGATTAGCATTTGCTAATCTGCGGCATCTCTGGTGCCGGCGCGACATATCCCTTTCACTGAAAGGGCGCGTGTATTGCGCAACGGTACGCACCGTGTTGCTCTATGGCTACGAGACCTGGCCTCTCCGACCGGATCACGTTCAGCAAATATAAGTCTTCGACAACCTCTGTCTGCGCAACATCGCGTGCGTATGGTGGGAGCATCGCGTGAACAACGATGTCAGACGACGTGTTTTAGGATCAGATGATCTTCCGTTGAACAAAATAATTTCACGGCATCGATTTAGGTGGTTGGGGCATGTCCTACGAATGCCTGAGCAACGTCTGCCATACCGTGCACCACTTGCATACATCGGTCCGTGTTGGGAGAAACAGCGAAGTGGCTTCCCAGCTGGGGTCCTAATGGTTGGCCGGAGACACTGCGGGATATGTCATAGAACTGAAGTCAGTGG